ATAGAGATTATAAATAACACTAGAGGAGGCATCGAGTTTAAAAATTGGGAACGCAGCTAATGGGGGGCAAAGTCAAGTCCCGGATATAAAATCGTGCTCTCATTGGCTGATTTGAAACTCGTCACCAATGGGAACACGAATACACATCCGGGACTTAAATTTGCCCCCCAATAGCCGCGTTCCCTTTTTTTGACTGAAGTGAGATTACGATGCCTCCTCTAGTGTTATTTATAATCTCTATGACTGAACGCCGTTCATGTTGAACTGACCTATATAGGTGACTGGAACGCCCCTGAGCTTCCACCAACTGGCCTACATACGTACCTGGATTGCTTTCCATGATTTCTCTTCCATTCCCCCAAAATTCTCGCGGTCCCTAATTAGTATTCAAAAATAAAAACATTGTTCATTTTCCAAAAATGTTTAAAGAAAAAAATTATGAAAGTCTTATTTCTTTTGGTTTTTGACCAAGTAAAACGATGTGGATTAAACCAGCCGAAGTTATTCTGGCTAATGCTTTGTGGTAAGTTTCTAAAGTGTAAAAATAAAGCCAAAGATTTTAAATTTTGGACAACTGAAAGGCGAGTCACAAATTGAGCTAATTGTTGACACTGTATTTTGTTCTTGTGTTTTTAAAAGGACAACAGAACGAGCGAATCCTTATTTTAGTCTTCAAAGAAGAAAGGGACATCAAGATAGCGGCTTTACTTCGCTCTTGGTAGGAACTTTTGACCATGTTTTGGATTCAAAGGTCAGTATATTTGAATCAGAATGTGTGTGATTTAAATAAACATTTGGTTTGCTGAAACGATTTTAATGCCACACTAAAGTACTTGAATCAGAAAAATTGGCTAATATAGTACTTGTTTACTAGTCAAGTCCACCTTATCATATATACATGAACTTGTGGTTAGAGCTCAACAATGGCATCTGTAGCTCAATACTCCAATAGCTCATTTGGTTAGAGTGCTGCACAGGAATCGCAGATTCATTCCCTGCTATTGGGCTCTTGCAAGTGATGTCATGTATTAGTTGACTTCTGCCATTTTGGATGACAAATTATTGTCGATTTCAAGTCACTTTTCAACACGCGGTTCCCAAGTTTGTTGCGAACTTCCCAATTACGTTTCCAAGTTTGGAAATTGGGCACAAACTTTGCAACAAAGTTTCTAAGTTCTTTTCAATGTTTGAACTTTGTTTGTAAACAAATGTTCATATTCAATAATAATAACCAATTGAATGAAATACAAACCGCTGAACCAAGAACTTTCTATTGAATTGTTAATTTCAAATTGAACTAAGAACATTTGTTTACAACAGTTCAAACATTACGTGGAGAAATTGTTACCATTTTTTCAGCCGAAAATGGTAACAATTGCCGCACATAATACAAACATATACAAAATTTGCAAACTTTGTAAGGCTATATTTTCCAAGCTTTATATATCATTTTGCAACCAAAGTTTGCAATTTTACAAGTTTTATTATGTTGTTTTTAGCTGTGGTGTTTGATTCCCTTCTCTTTACTTAGTTTAAAATTTAGTCTAACATGCAAGTTGTCCATTGCTCATCAATGTTTTTGTTTCAGCCTCCACCATTCAGAATCTTATTGCAATCTACTTCCTCATCTGATGTTATTTATGGTAAAGAAATTCATTTTATGTTTTCTTAGTAGGTCATTCCAAGATTTAAATCATTCCTCATCTCTCCCGTCAAGGAAATGAAAAGATAAATAATTACTCTAACTTGTATTTAGTGATAGCGACTGCTGCAAAAAGAAAAGAAATTGACGCAAACTGGAAATGGCTTGAACAGCATCTGCTTCCCACCTTAGGTAATGCAACATTATTTTCAAAAAATACATTCATTATTAAATCTTTCTTGTTGTATGGTATGCTTCAGTAATTGTACAAAAATTGAGCTGTGTTTCATTTCCAGAATCATTTGACAATGACAATGATGCAAAAGAGTTTGTTCAGGCCAAGATAGAAGGTTTGGTGGCCCACAATGAAGCTCAGAATGGCCCTGAAGGTATTTCCTTTTATTCAAGTCAAATTTTCTGAAGGTTTAAGGGATCTCCTCTTCCCTCAAAAAGGTCTAACAAGTCAGTTAACAGTCAACAGTGAGTCATTTCCCTCAAACGTTCCTTACAAGTCCTTCAAAACTTTAGTTCTCATAATTATTTCCTTTCACCTTCAGCCACTCCAGAATCAGCAAAATTTCAATCAGCCTTTGCAAGATTTAAAAGATTATTTCACATGCCAAAAGACGAAAAACTTGTAAATTGTAAGTTGTTATATTGTCCCCCCCCCCCCCAGTGTCTGCCACTGTTTGTGTGTATGTTTTTGTTGTTTTGTGTTAAAGTAGGTCCAGCATTAGGGTGTAATGTACTTAGTAAGTTAACTAGACACATGGGGAGAATGTCTGATTGACCCATTAAGTGCCAGTGCTCTCCCCTTGATGAGTTAAATCATCTGGCATTAGACAGAGTAAAACAGTAGAGTAGTGAACATTAGGGTGCAATGCAACTTAACTAGACACATTGGCAGTCTGATTAAAGAGATTTTAAAATAATAAGTAAAGTTGATTTTTGTACTAGATTATTCGTGTAGCTATTGGAAAGGCATTGTGCCTCGTCAGGGCTGGATGTATCTTTCTATCAATCATTTATGTTTCTACTCCTTCCTCTTGGGTCGTGAAGCTAGGCTTGTCATTCGTTGGACTGATGTTACAGTAAGTTGATGTCTCACGAATTCAGGCAGGAATTCTTCAGGAGCTTGTTGTTCAAAGCTAGATTAGACATTTACAGTACATTAAAAATTTCTCCAACGTTTTAGAAACTTGAGAGAACCAATACTGTTCTTCTTCCTGATGGGATCAAGGTGTGCACTCGATCCTCTGAGGTATGTGTAATTTTACTTGAAGCTATGGTATTGTACTGTACATTATGTAAAAACATGCAAGTTGTTACAGATCTCTGCAAATAAGTTGTAACAAGGTTGTTGTCAAGCCAATATCAGGATGTGTTCGCACTGCTTGTTCCCAGTTGTTGTGACAAGTCTGGAACAAGTTGTTATCACCTTGTTACAAGGTTGATGATGGTAACACACTTGCTACAAGACAGTCGAGACTAATACAGGCTGTTTGTAACAAGTTCTACGAGCTTGTTGTCATCAACATGTTAACAACTTGTTACATGCCATTGCAGACGATATCAAACTTGTTGGAACAGTTTTTATGGAGTCTACTGGCCTCATCAACCTTGTTCCAAGATGATAACAACTTTTTCAATGCTTGTCAACAACTGAGAACAAGCAGTGCGAACACATTGGCAAGCTGTGAGATTTTTTCATGTGTCGTTGCCATAAAATTTGACTATTATATATTTATCCAATTGTAGCATAACTTTTCGTTGCTGCTTCATGCTTCTGAAACATTTACTCTGATGGAGCAGTTGGCAAACATCGCGATGAGAAGGTACCTAGAAATGTCTCTCTATATCTTGCTTTGTTTCACAGTTTTGACATAGAATTTTTTCTGTTCAGGTTATTGGCAGAGAAAGGATACGAAGTTGAATCCATTCTCTCTTCTCCAAGTGCAAAGTATGACTAGAACTCCCTATATTGTTTATTTCATATTGAAATATATACAAGAGGAATATACTAAAAATTATGATAATTGTGTTTTGTATGATGTCCAGAGAGAGAAAGAAGCGAAGGAAAAAGACAGTGTCCATGTTAAAACGCGATCTCGATGCAAGAGCTCGTAGTGAACTTTATCGGTAAGTATTATAATTAATCTAAACTGCATGACTTTATTTATACTGGATGGCTTTATTAGTTCTAAACTTTTTCAAAATTTTGCAGAAATTTGTTTCGACTTCCGAGTGAAGAGAAGTTGGATGGTGATTGTGAATGTACGATATGGAGTCCTCATTTAAAATGTGTAATCTGGGGGACTCTCTATTGCTCCCCTAACTTCATGTGCTTCGCTAGTAAGGTAAGGAAGCTTGGATGAAATTTTGAGATCATCGTTGGATTCAGCATTATAGGTAATAGACAATTCCCATTATAGACTATTTTTTTATCTTGGAAAAAGTATATTCCCGGAAAAAGCATACTAAAATTAGTAAAATTGCAAAATTTGGTTGCGAAACGTTGTAAAATGCGGAAAACATAGCCTTGCAAAATTTGGAAATTTTGTATACTTTAATTTGTATTGCATGCGGAAATTGCTACCACATTAGGGCCGAAAATAGTGTCCAGATATATTTTATTGTCAGTGTCTATTGTGGTGTCCAAATAATATATATTTTAATTGATTTTCTTGTTTGTTTTAGATCAGACATTTGGTTTCAGTTGTAATTCCAATGCGAGAGATTACAGTAGTTGAGAAAGCCAACAATCCTGCATTACCAAATGCCTTGCATATCACCACCAAATCAAAGGTACTGGGTCTTTCACCTCAATATCCAGTTGTCTGATTATCTTGAACCGTCTGTGCCAGTGTCGGTCGTGCCAATAACAACAAGCTTTTGTTGGTAGGAATGAAAAATATGAGGAGAATTTCAACGTTTCGGGCGAAGGCCCTTCGTCTGGAGTTACTAACCGAAGGGTTAACTTGCTCCTTCGCTTGAAACACAAAAATTATCCTTATATTTTTCAGGTAGTCACATCCCTACCAACAAAAGCTTGTTCATAGTTGTCTCATTATAATTTCACCTCAGTCACACGTGAGAAGAATGCTTCCAGTTTGACTCTACCAAACACCACGCCATTTTTCCCACACAAGTACTTCAGAAGTCAGCACCAGAATCGCACGGCCACAGTTAGTAAATCATTCCATGTAATTTTCTAGGCTTCTTTTCTGTTTGCGACTTTTGCGTCTCTCAAAGATCGTGATTATCTGGTCAGGAGAATGTCAGACTTCCTCGCTCAAGTCCCAACACCAGAGTAAGAATAAAACTAGGCGTACTTAATGATGAACATCTTGTAATCCAGCGGGGCTTTCTCCATTAACAACTTTTTCTTGTCACCTAGAAACAGCACTATGAACTTGAAAACCAAGACGCAGTCACCACTTACCAAGATCTTCTCACATCGTTCACCAAGTCAGGTCAACGTCAAAGAACCTGTTAAGGAACATTTGTGGGATCTTCATTTTGCCGAGTTTGGCAGGTAGACTAACTTTATTTATACTGGATAGTTCTACCAGTTGTAAACTGTTCTTCCTAGATGTCCAGTAAGATTCACTGTTTTACTTAAACCGTTTGACTGTTATTTCAGAGGTGTGTGTATGTACCGTACGGTGAAAACTCACGAACTGGTCTTGAAAGGCATTCCTGATAGTTTACGAGCAGAAATATGGTTGATATTTTCTGGCGCTGTAACAGAGGTAGGATTATTACTGCCAGGAATATATGATCAAGGCCTGCAGTTGGTATTCTTATTTGACATTTTTCATTGTAGATAGCAACGCATCCTGGGTATTATCACTCCTTGGTTGAAGAAAGCGCTGGTCAGCTCACCTTGGCAAGTGAGGAAATTGAAAGAGATTTACACAGGTGTGTTGTACGCCATATTTGTGCAAGGAAGGATTTGTAAGAAATGTTTGAGGGAACTCACTCAATAGACCCATTGCACATGACGTCACAGCGCCGGTGACGATGCATCTGGAGGACAAATTAGCAATCTATGCATAATATAACTTTTGTAAACAAAGCAAATTTTGTAAAACTTTATAATAATTTTGTATTAAAATGGTTCATTTTTGGGCTGTATGTGGTTGTTGTACCCGAACAGATATTGTTAAGGAGCATCTGGAGGACACTCTAAGGATTTGTGACGACGTCAGTGCAAAGGGTCTATACTAAACACTGTGTTAGTTCCCTCAAACATTTCTTACAAATCTTTTAAAACTTAGAATTTACCGTTAGAATTTCGGAATTTTCCCATTCAAAATTCCTACTGTGATCACAGAAACTTTGATAATGTCAAGCAGCCTTTAAAGACTTTAAAGGTCTCAAATAACGTAATTTGTTCGGCTGGACTAACATTTGTATTTTTTACAATTAGGTCTTTGCCTGAACACCCGGCGTTTCAATCAGAAGTAGGCATTGATGCATTACGTCGCGTTTTGACTGCATACGCCTGGAGAAACCCCACTATAGGTAAGACGACGCACTACTTAGTGCTTGTGTCTTTCACATTTGTGACTGGGCTTCGATACAGTTGTAACACTGGATCAATAAAAGATGATCCTTACTGAATCTCTAGAGAGAACAGTTTAGAACTGATAGAGCTATCCAGTATAATGAATAAAAGAAATACAATTTCTTCCAACAGGGTATTGCCAAGCTATGAACATAGTTGCTTCTGTGTTGTTACTGTATTGCAATGAAGAAGAAGCGTTCTGGTTATTGGTCGCAGTTTGTGAGAGATTGTTGCCAGATTATTATAATACCAAAGTCGTTGGTGCCCTAGTGGATCAAGGTAAAATGTTTTCAAGTAGTTCAAACACTAACAATGCTAGCAGTCATACCAAATTTATATCTTAAGTTTAATAATTGTGTTTTTTAATTTCTCGATTCTCAGGTGTTTTCGAAGAGTTGATTCGTGAAAATATTTCTGAACTTTATGATCATTTAAAAGATCTTGGAATTCTTCATATGATCTCATTATCATGGTTCCTTACTTTGTTTCTGAGGTATGAACTTGCGAGCAAATGGACTAACTTTATTTATACTGGATAGTTCTATCAGTTCTAAACTGTTCTTCCTAGAGGTCCAGTAAGGATCATCTCTTATTGATCCAGTGTTACTACAGGAGGAAACCTAAACTAAACTAACTTTATTTATACTGGATAGCTCTATCAGTTCTAAACTGTTCTTACTAGAGGTCCAGTAAGGATCATCTCTTATTGATCCAGTGTTACTACAGGAGGAAACCTAAACTAAACTAACTTTATTTATACTGGACAGTTCAATCAGTTCTGCACTTTTCTTCCTCATTTTAGTGTCATCCCATTTGCGAGCGCTGTGAATGTTGTCGATAATTTCTTTTATGACGGAGCCAAGGTAAAGAATCTGCAGTGGTGTGTGTAGCACATGAAAAGATGAAAACCACCTAGTTTCGTTCTGTGGTAAACAATGTCATTTTTTCCATGTAGGTGATATTCCAGGTAGCTCTAGCTATATTGGACGCAAACAGAAGCAAGTTACTTTCTGTTGATGACGATGGTGAAGCGATGATCATTCTCTCTGAATATTTGGACAATATTACCAATAAAGAATATGATTCACCTTTCAAATCTGCTGCCTCGTCTATACGTGGTACTTCTGTTGGAGGGGTGAGTAATGGTGGTGAGTGGTAGTGGTGGTGGTGATCGTTGTGTTGATCGTTGTGTTGATGGTAGTGGTGATGGTAGTGGTGGTGGTGATCGTTGTGTTGATCGTTGTGTTGATGGTAGTGGTGATGGTGGTGGTGGTGTTGGTGGCGATTATGGTGATTGTGGCGGTAGTAGTGATGATGGTGGTTGCGAGATGATGGTGATGATGATGGTGAAGAAATGGCTGACTTATCACAAAGTGTTTTATTGCAGCCATCTTCATCTGTGGATGTCTCACAACTTATCCTGGAATCGTATCGCAAGTTTGGGTTTATTACTTCAGAACAAATTGAACGAATGAGGAACACACAGAGACTAAAAGTTGTTCAGGTTCGTCATTTTCAAGCCTGGTTTGCACTGTCAGCCAGATCAAAGTCGTCATCACTGTAGGAATTTTACCTCGTCTTGACACAAATGGAACGGGGGATTGTGCGAATGTTTAAGTGATGAAACATTTAAAATTTTACAGACTGATATTTTTTTGAAATATTTCAGGGCATGGAAGACACCATTCGTAAAACTGTTGTTCGGAATGTGGCTGAGGAATCATGTTTTACTGTCAACGAGCTTGATCTTGTCTACCGCGTGTTTAAGGTAAGCGCAATTACTCTAGACGTAATTACTGATTGTCCTTGCACTCTTTTCATCATTAAAGTAATTCACCACATTTTCTGGAGACGAGAAAATTCATCCTGGCATGTGCTATGTTGAAATCATAGTTACTAAAACCTTGTGTTGACATTTTTGCATGGCTAAATTCTAAGTTTTGAAAGATTTGTAAGAAATGTTTGAGGAAACTGACTCGTTGTTTAACATTAAATCAGTTTCTTCAAACATTTCTTACAACTCCTTCAAAACTTAGAATTTACCCATGCAAAATTCCTACTGTGATCACAGAAACTTCGAGAGTGCAAACCAAGCGTAACAAACCATTTTCTACATGAAAAAACGCACAACTTGTCACAAACCTGCAGCAAAACTGTTGCTGCTTTTTCCACTTGTCATCAGGATGTGCTCGCACTGCTTGTTGACTTAAAAGAGTTGTTAAAAGTTGTTCCATCAACTTTTATGTCCTGCAACTTGTTAACAGTTTGGTGTGGATGCATATCGAGCCTATACTCTGTTTTGAGGTCTAACGGGAATTGAACCACGTAACCTTCTGACAACCGGACAGACGCTCTAACCATTGAGCTATAAGGCATCAGATGGTGAGCCAAGGTTACGTTATTTACTAGTTCTGTGTGTTACATGTGCACTGCTAACTGCAAGTCTCGACATCTCTGAATTTTCTGTTCATTCTAGGATGGTCAACTCCAAAGTCGTTCATGGGGCGACACTGCTGCTCCCCAATACGAGATTGATTCCAGTAAACTACAACGCATTGAATATGAACAGTTTAAGATCTTGTTTAAATGTCTCACAAAATGGGGAAGAAATGAAGCCGGGGATATTTTGTCTGTTAGAGCTTTCAGAGTAAGTTGATTACTTTGGTATTAATAAAGCGTTTGTGACCCAGTGGTCAGTACATGTGTCTTTCGTCTCTCTGACTGAGTTTTGTTTCCTGCAATATGCAGCTGATTATAATCAATAAGAGATGATCCTTACTAGACTTCTAGGGAGAACAGTTTAGAACTGATAGAGCTATCCAGTATTGGATTGGGAGAACAGCTTAGGACAGTTGATTCAAATAAAGTTTGTTTATACATTCTCTATAGTAATTTTATTTTTTCTTCAGTTAATCGACAGTGACCGCGATGGAGTGATCAACTTCAAGGAATTCGCGATAACGTTGGGTGTGATCTGCCGTGGTGACCTGCACGAGCGTCTCAAGTTTATCTATCGCTTGCATCTCCCCCCGGCTCTACCACTTTCTGAACTGGAGGAGAGCAACACGCCTGACGATGACAGGGGGGTCGACAGTTGCAGTGAAGTTGATGAAGCTGAGGAAGTTAATGAATCTGATGGGATTGAGAGGTACAATGATGAGACTATTATGGATCCCTTAGGAGCAGGTGTAGTTGTTATTCAAGGTAAGGTGACTCGACAATCTAGTACTGATTCCGAACGCTCGCGTCGGAGTCTTGAAACCTATCCCTCAAAATCCGAAAGTAGTACTTCAGAGAGAATGGCGAAACCCTCCGAAGATTTTCCGACTAATTCCAAAGATTTTGCAAAGGTTTCCGATGTTGTCACGGATGTTTCCGATTTTACGACAAATGTTTCGGACGATCACGCGACTAATTCCGAAGATATGACTAACGTTTCTGAAGTTTTGACGATTGTTTCCGAGCATTCTACGAAGCCTTCCGAAGGTTCAGCGAGTCCTTCCGAAGATTCCTCAGAAATTGGGGATGGTTGTTCTGTAGAAAGCGACAATATGGGTTTTGATCTTGTTGATATGGACTGTGGGGCTGGTGGAGCAGACACGAAAAGTCGACAAGGGATATATCGTGTTGTTGAGGATTCCGATGTGACAGACGGAATGAATCGTAACGAGATCGGGCAGTATTCGGAAGTGGACGGCAGTAGTAGCTGGAATATGAATCAAGTAAGTGTGTAGACTGAATATTTCTTATGTGTTTCTAGTAACCAACTGTGAATTTTTTTTCTCTCTGTTTCCCTCTGCGCGATTGTTTGTTTTTTTCTTTTTCGACCCCCCCCTATCTAATGGTCCCCTAAATAAAGTTGATATATGCGTGTATGTAGGTATGCAGGTTAACCACCGTCTGTTACACGATAATGAGTTCAAACACTTTCTATATTTTCTAGAAACAGTTCATTCATCTTTGGAAAACATTTTACTCGCTGTTCAGAGACCTTCCTAATGAACAAGAAATGTATAAAGCCATTGCTACCGTTGGTACGCTACTTCTTAACCTGGGCGAACTCTCGGTTGAGAAACCTGACACGAGTTTAGAAAACCCGTCAAACCTGTCCAAACCTGTTGTGGAAAACTCGCCAAACCTGTCTAGTCCAGTTGCAGACAGCTCTTCAAACCGGACTGAACCTGTTAATTATTCTGGTAATTCTTTGTCTAACCGGAAAGACAATTTTGGCGACTGCTTAGACCAGGATTCCAATAATGGGAGCCCACTGTCAGATACTGGTAGTGCTCAGCGGCGACTCTGTGCAGCATTGGCTGACGCAGCAGCCGATTGCTCACCGGGCAGTGACGAAGGAAACACGAATGATGACGAATTTATCCGAGTTGGAAGCGAAGATAGTTTACTAAGTAGCCCCGAGGTTATTGACTTGGATGATGATTCCAGATGTAATATTGAGGTCAGTCCCAACCGACTCTTATCGGAAAATTACGACCAAACTACGTCCGATTCTGATCTTGTTACGAAAGTTTCCGATCATTCTACGAAGGATTCCGAAAATTTTACCGAAAATGAAACAAATCATGAAAATGAAAATGAAATTGTGGCTGATTCTTCAGAATGTGCTGGAAATGAAGATGTTTGCGAAGGCGGACAGATGACACGAAAACGCTCGTCAGGAAATGTAGACCCGTACTGGTGTATAACTTTTGAACAGTTTCTAGCTTCAGTTTTGACAGAGCCATTGTTGGTCGAGTATTTTGAAGAACAAACGAATATTGAGGAAATTATTAATACAGTGAAAACTGAGGGAGTTAGGGACTTTGTAAGAGATCCACGCAGATCCCTTAGTGTAGAGTAATGTACACAGTAACTACCAGTGAGCTCTATATATCTGGAGTGAGAACTTCACTCATTCGGCCGATAAGTGCAGTCAAGATGGCGCCCACTGACGTCCGATAGCTCTGAAGGTCGTAAACAGTTTTAATAATTTTTTCTGTGTTGGTGCTGTGTACTCAGGTGAATATGATATTTGTGATGTTACTCTGAGTGTATATCCACACCGGGCGAGCTTGAAAATATGCCTGGCCACGGTGGGAATGAACCTACAACCTTTGGAATACTAGCCCAATGCTCTGCCAACTGAGCTACGTGGTCAGGTCGGTTCGAGTAAGTGATATTTCGGAACAGAATCTAGTTCCTTCGATACCAATGTATTTGTGTTCCGAAATATCACTTACTCGAACCGACCTGACTGCGTAGCTCAGTTGGAAGAGCATTGGGCTAGTATTCCAAAGGTCGTAGGTTCGAATCCCACCGTGGCCAGGCATATTTTCAAGCTCGCCCGGTGTGGATATACACTCAGAGTAACATCACAAATATCAGTTTTAATAATATTGTCAGAAAATACTATGTCAGAAATTATTCTTAATATTGACAATGGCACCAGGGTTGCCAGACTGCTGAATAAATAAGCCAAACATTGTTATAAGCACCTCTTTCATTTCTTTGTTTGAAACAAAGAAAACAAAAGGTTGTTATAATAATATTTGGCTTATTTCTACAGTAGTCCGGCAACCCTGAATGGCACTTGTGACTGTGCTGGCTTGAATACATTAATCAACGTTTCTTGTCATCGTTGCTCGTGTAAAATTGAGTATAAAATGTATTGACAGGAAATTACACTTGTTCTCCAAATTACATTAATGAAAATTCACACTTGTGTTTGGCGAAATATTTGTAATACCGATTTTTCATTAACACTTCTCGAACCGTGTAATTTCCTGTACAAATCGATGTTAAAATACGAAATTTTGGCACACTCCTTGCCAACTTTGTGTTAACCGCGCGGACAAAAACGTAGAAAGGGACTGGAACTGACAACTTCTTCAATTTCCGCCATCTTCACGTTTTGAACCGCGTGCTCACAGAGACGACTGGGGAGTGGGGGCGAGTCGGACTCGAGTTCTCGTTCCAGATATACATATATATGGCCCTCACTGTTAACTATACCTTGATGAGTCCATAGCCACTGTTCTCTTTATATAACTGGAGAAAGACTACTATGTCGAAATCACCTGAAATTATGATGACGTAATGCAAACTTATATTTTATGTTAGTTTAGGGAAATGCGTCCATTGTAAATTTGTATTTTATTTAATTCGCGGAGATTTTGAAATGGAAAACATATTGTAATAATTATGATTAAATTAATTATTTAATATATCAGCGCCATTTAATGGAATACCAACGAAAGTCGAGTAAAATGAAAATGCCCAAGATTTCAAAGTATTAAATTATATAATCTTATTTCATTCATGCGCCGACATATAGTTTATATGTTTCTGTAATCTAAATCTTTGAAAATGATTGACACTTCAGACAGTTTTAATAAACTTTTCTTTGCAACAAGAATCCCCGCAATGATGACGTGGATTGGCGTGAGCGAGTTAAAATTTTCGTGGACGTAAAACAATAAGGGAAACGACTAGAGTTACGCTTCTGCTATAACTTCGTATTCTGTGATTCAGTGATCGGGATTTCAATCTTTTTTATTGTTTTGAAAATCTCATTCGTCTGCAGGGTGTCCCAAAAAAACCCAGGCAATTGTAGTAACGTATTGTTAGAATTTGAATGCTTTGGCACTAAGCTGAACGCAAAAATGCGTAAAATATTGACAAGGCTGCATATATTAAATATTGACTTATTAAGAAATTAAAATATCTTTGTAACTCGGCGCACAATTTCCTGCTCTTGGGAATTTAAAGCAGCTTCTTAAACAGTTCCTTTATGCACTTGTGAGTTCAGCAGAGTGCTAAGGCATTCAAATTCTAACAATAGTTTATTCCAATAGTTTGTTTTTTTGGGGACACCCTGCCAGAAATTATCCTGTTGTTGTTAAGCACGTTGTAGCTATCGTGACTGCCAGAGAAACAAAAACTTGCCATATAAAATTTGGTGTACGTAGACATTCAGCAACAAAGCTGCCATACGAAAACTTGTGAGAGAAGACTTGATTGTAACTGATTTGTAACTGGTTTGTATACTGACTCGTGAAATATTCACTTAAGTTTAACTCATGTATGTAATAGTGAAGTTTTCACCTTTATTTCAGAACCGAAATGACGCTCAGGATAGAAATGGCGACACTACTTTGCTAAGGTAAGAAAATGTGCAGAGAAAGAGTTTTTGTTGTGTGACGCAGGAGTAGTGAATAATCACGCCTAGATACATGAACCTCCGTGTGGGATGTATAAGACTTCAGGGAAGTTTCAAAGTGGTCGAGATTACGTCTATATTACGTAAATTTTGAAACTTCCCTGAAATATCACATCCTTTGTGATAGAGACAAAGATGGTTTGGAACGCATTGATCGTGTGTTGGATGTTTTGTGTTGTGGCTTTGTTAAAGTTTGTAACCCTGTCTGTATTGTTTTACAATGTCAATGTGATATGTATGTAGGACTTAATTTGGGATTCCTCAGTCCTGTTGTCTGTACCTTCAATCAGGTTTTGTTGATTGTAAAGTTTATAAACTAGACAGAAGGAAGCCACAATCATGGCAAAAATTCCGTGGACACTTAAGCCGGTTTTCCACTAGGCGGAATTTTGCGCGCGGAGCGGAATTTTTCTTTGTCTTGTGATTTCTCGGGTGGAACTAATTGGAAAAGACCAGGGCGCTTAAGCCTGCAGCACACGAGAGCTATCTGCTGAGCAAAATGTTACTCGTGCCTGTTAGCTCAGCCGATAGCTCACCGTGTACGCGTACATTTTACTGAGTTTTTTTGCCTCATGCAACCTTTTCTCACGTATTAAACATGTTTGATCGGTGAGCTATCAGCTGAGCTAACAGGCACGAGTAACTTTTGGCTCAGCAGATAGCTCTCGTGTGCTGCAGGCTTTATATACCAAATGGTATACAGGGTGTCTCAAAAAAAACCAAAATCATTGAAATAACGTATTGTTCGAATTTCAATGCCGTAACACAAAGGATTTTGACAGGGTGATTAATTTGTTTTAAAAAATTAAAATATCTTTGTAAAGTGAACGTTTGTTCGCTCATGGGAATTTAAAAATGCTTCGTAAATTGTAATATGCGTAATATGCATTCGTGGGTTTAGTACTTTATGCCTGACATAACAAGTTTACGCTGAGTATTACCATTCATTATAGCAGTTATGTCAATCTTTTATGCACTCGTGGGATTAACTTAGTGCTAGGGCATTGAATATCGAACAATACGTCAATTTCAATGATTTTGGGTTTTTTTGAGACATTGAAATTGACGTATTGTTCGATATTCAATGCCCTAGCACTAAGTTAATCCCACGAGTGCATAAAAGATTGACATAACTGCTATAATGAATGGTAATACTCAGCGTAAACTTGTTATGTCAGGCATAAAGTACTAAACCCACGAATGCATATTACGCATATTACAATTTACGAAGCATTTTTAAATTCCCATGAGCAAACAAACGTTCACTTTACAAAGATATTTTAATTTTTAAAAACAAATTAATCACCCTGTCAAAATCCTTTGTGTTACGGCATTGAAATTCGAACAATACGTTATTTCAATGATTTTGGTTTTTTTTGAGACACCCTGTATATTAGAAAAAGGAGACCTTTAGAAATCAACCATTGTTATAATTTGAATCCTGGAGCACTTTCCTAAGCCCACGAGTGCGTAACATGCGATCTACGTACAGTATGAATGACAGACTTTTCCCAGGAGCAGACAATCTTTTGTTTAAACGTTATTTCAATTTCTAAAGGTCTCCTTTTTCTAATATATGCACTGATCAATATTTCACGCACTACGGTTCAGCATAATTATTATGTGCAACTGAAAAGGCATTCAAATTTTAACAATATGCTTGATTTCTAAAGGTCTTCTTTTTTTTTATACACCCTGTAGTGCAAAATAACATTGTCATTGATATACAGGGTGTATAAAAAAAGGAAACCTTTAGAAATCAACCATTGTTATAATTTGAATCCTGGAGCACTTTGCTAAGCACATGGCAGATTGTTCCAAGGAGCAGACAATCTTTTGTTTAAACGTTATTTCAAATTCTAAAGGTCTCCTTTTTCTAATATATGCATCATCAATATTTCACGCAATACGGTTCAGCATATGTGTAATTGAAAAGGCATTCAAATTTTAACAATATGCTTGAATTCTAAAGGTCTCCTTTTTTTTTATACACCCTGTATAGCTCTCTCAAGCAGTATACTCTCGCGAGTATATGAGAGTGGACAAGATGTTCCAGTCATTGTACGCGCGTCCGTAATTAAACCACAATACATTATCAACCAGATCTTTGCTTCAACTGGATTTACTCTCGTGAATGCATTCAAAGGAAATAATTTGCAGTTAAAATATTCTTACGTGCATGTATGGAGAAAAGCATGCGAACTGAATTCGAAAAATCTTTAATCTAATTAAAAATCTACCACAGAATTCGCATGCATGCATGCATGCTTTAATTCCATTTGAGCTTTGGTTCACTATAAATATTATACACATGCATATACGCATCAAACATACGGAGACGGCCAAGTTTTATACCGGTCGTAACAAAACAATTAAACTACCAGAACTCTTCCCTGTTTAAAACCGCAAAATGCATATACCAAACTTCAATATAATTGACAGAAAGGTGTTAAAAGCATTTATGGCTTGAATTAAAGAATCTGCATGCTTAGCTATATTTCGGTCTGTCTTGGTGGTGATTAATGGTGTTTGGAATTTGGTAATTAAACGTTTTAGTTTTAAGTTTATACCGCCCAATAACATATATTCCAGTATCGAAGCATATGTGGGCAAGTTTTGGTAGTTTTAGATACTATCCATTCATTCCGTAGGGGGGGGGGGGTTATTTTTAACACTTTATATACCAATACAGGTACGTGTGCTACTAGCTATAATGCTTAATAAGCACATTTATATTCACGTCTAATATCACCATATCTCTCTTCCCTGTTAAAAATCCGCGGAAATTTACTCAAAAGTTACATGCTGTCTTTGGAATGATAATAATATAGCCACAAAAACATTTTGCTTTATGCACTCGCGTGTGCATGCAATAATTTTGACATTTTAAGTTCCCAGGCGCCTAAAATCTTTTGTCTTTAAAACCATGTCGATTTCTTGGGAAATTCCGAGGTTGCGTTTTTTTTTTATACACCCTATAGAGTGTAAACAATTCAATGCGGGGGGAGCGCTTGCAAATTATTTTCTTAGCTTTAAGCAACGTTTGGCCAGCATATATATTAAAAAAATTTCAAATAGGATTTTATATTTTTATTCACAACGACAGATGTTTTTCTGATTTACATTATCTAGCATTTAGAGAAACAATAAAAAAAAAAATAACAATTTTAAGATGTGAATGGCTAATATGTGTAGGTACTTTCTCGCCCTCCGTGCAACAAAATCAAATGAAACAACACACGTGCTCTGCACTGCGCCAATTTTAATATGGCGGTGTCAGAGGAGTCGCAGTACGATATCGTGTATAGAACGGGTCTATCGTTACTATCAAAGTCAAAGATGCAGTCACTTTTAAGCTTGTTTTTGTGCTTATATTATCTATCCGAGTATATGAGAGTGGACAAGAGGTGCCAGTCATTGTACGCGCGTCCTTAATTATTAAACCACAATACATTATCAACCTGATCTTCGCTTCAACGGGATTTACTCTCGTGAATGCATTCAAAGGAAATAATTTGCAGTTAAAATATTCTTACGTGCATGTATGGAGAGAAATCTTTAATCTAATTAAAAATCTACCACAGAATTCGCATGCATGCATGCATGCTTTAATTCCATTTGAGCTTTGGTTCACTATACACATGCATATACGCATCAAACATACGGAGACGGCCAAGTTTTATACCGGTCGTATCAAAACAATTAAACTACCAGAACTCTTCCCTGTTTAAAACCGCAAAATGCATTTACCAAACTACAATATAATTGACAGAAAGGTGTTAAAAGCATTTATGGTTTGAATTAAAGAATCTGCATGCTTAGCTATATTTCGGTCTGTCTTGGTGTTTGGAATTTGGTAATTAAACGTTTTAGTTTTAAGTTTATACCGCCCAATAACATATATTCCAGTATCGAAGCATATGTGGGCAAGTTTTGGTAGTTTTAGATACTATCTATTCATTCCGTAGGGGTGGGGGGTGGGGTGGCGGTGTTATTTTTTACACTTTACATACCAATCCAGGTACGTGTGCTACTAGCTATAATGCTTAATAAGCACATTTATATTCACGTATAATATCATCATATCTCTCGTCCCTGTGAAAAATACGCGGAAATTTACTCAAAAGTTACATGCTGTCTTTGGAATGATGCAAAAGACCATAATTACGATGAAACTGGAAACCGAACTATTCAGAAATAATCGCTTTGTGAGTCGAGTAGGTTTAAATCTCATCTCACAACATATCAAACTGCGGGGAAAGACAAATAAATATGCATTGTTTTCGCCTTTTACAAACTTATACTTGAGAACTGAGGCCATTTCCAAGCTAAACTTCATTTGCGGTATAAGATTTATAGCACAGTTCAGCCAGTAGTCAAATTTCATACGTCTCATATTACACGATGCTCACTAACGATTCTCGGTCTATAAAACGGTGATTTGCGTTACTATAAATTTTACTTCTCTTACATTTTATATGCATATGGGTACAAGAAAACATTTTCCTTAATTACAATCGGTTAACTTTGCAGATATCCCTTTTTACGTTCGTTCGTGAACGAAGCTCACTACAAAACAGTAAATAAATCTATATCTCATTGGCTATTTTAGGACAGAAAGTGAGAATCGTTGCTAGAAAATCATTTGTATCTTAGTCAGTTCGTTACGAAAACTTGTAAAATCGTCCTATCCTGCAAAATATGTTGGACTTTACACCCGTTTTCAAAATTACGCGACCAAAGACGAAAATGCTCGAGTTGACATGTCAGTTTTATGTCATTCGATCACGAAGTTCAAACTTTGAGTTTTGCGGTTCCTTTTCGATGTATATGCTTTGTATGCTTTATATAAACAGACTTACAATGATTTTCAAGATATTTTAGTGAGAATTATTGTAAAATTTAAGCACGACAAAATCATAACATCACCGTTATAGTCTAGCGCGCGTGTTTTATACTGACAGCTATATTCCAGGATAAATTGTTATTTTTCAAACTT